GGTTCAGTAAATTCATAGGACTAGATTGAGTAAATCAAGATTAACTATACTATACAAAATGGCAGCCTTCTATTTTAAAAAATTCAGTTCTCTGCATGGTCCGAATTGAGTGCCAACCATTATTCTACCACCAGTGTAACTTGACACTGACAGCAGCTACTATGACTCAGCCCACTATCTCTACTTTAAGATTTATTTTAATCTGTAGGCTTCCTGGTTTAGGTTTCAGATTGTTCTGTTAAAAATATTTGCCTGACACAGCTCACTGAAGTATTAGGCTACCCTGGGTCTCTGCCTCAGAAACAGTGGCCCATATTTTGATCCCCCCATTTCTCAGTGTGGTACATATTGAGAACTGGACTCTATGTATCATTTTTGCAAGGAGGATACATTGCAAGCTATTCAGTACATCGTCACTTCCTGTCTGAACTAGAAGTGCCTGGAAAGACAGCACACAGCTACTTCTAACCTAGCATAAAATCCTTAACTTTAATTTCTGTGATATTTGGAAATCCCCTACCTGTGTCCTCTATATCCTACTTTTTAACCTCTTTTTTGTTTACTTATTTCTCTTTAACATGTTTAATATTTAAACAATGCTATCATGTTTATTGTTTTATTTATGTATTTGTAAACTGCTTCAGTCAAGGGAATACTAAGCAGTGTAAAAAGCAATACCAGTAGTCACTGCAATAAAAGACTAAGTATACAATAAAAGAAATACAATACATAATAATGCTTCAAAAAGTACAATTAATATAATACTCCTGGCCCTGAGAGCTGATAGCACTGAAGTCTCAAAGGCCCCTTCCAAAATAGCCAAGTTTTTATGAAAGATATTTGTGAGGTGCAATCCAACTCGTGATGGCATTCTACATCCAGGTAAAGTGGACCAGGAATGAAATCTGTCTTGTTGACACTGTTTAATTATCCAGTTATTCACCTGGATATTTTCCTTTCTACTTCCTTTGATTAGACAGAGAATACAACCTCAGCCTCCAGTCATTTAGTTTTCTTCCTACAGGTCTGAAGTCTGAGATTATTTAATTGTTGCTGTTCTTCATGGTGTAATTCACCCGCATGTGGAAGAGTAGAAAGAGATACTTGTCAAATGCTTTGCAGTTGCTCTGTCACATCACTAATCAACATATCAGGGAATCAGCATATTTTCTGGTGTCTGCAGATCTGGCTGGTACTCATTAATTTTTCATCTTCATAGGAATTATTAAACAAATAGTATAGCTATCCCCTTTGTCCTCTTGTTGGTAATAGTTGCACCCTCTCTTGTCTTGTACTCAATGTGGTCTCTTTGAGATCCATAGTCTGTTTCTTCTATGAGGGCCTATAAGCTCTGTTGCTGAGTTGTTTCTGCCTCTTTGAGATCCAGTGGACATCATATTACCAAGGCTGTCAGTAACTGCTTCTTTGAGTTCTTATGAGCTTATACAGTGTTTTGTCACCTGCGATAGTTATCTAGCCACCTTGTCTTTTGTTGGCCTTTTATTTTATTACCTTCAATTTTTCCAAGCATCAGATCTTTCCAATAACTCTTGACTTCACATTATGTGTTAAAAATATCTAAGCTTTAGCTTACTAATGCTTTTATTGAGCAGTCTGATTTTACTCCATCTAGTATTGAATGAATGGGATCTTGTTGTGACCCAGAATGTTCTCAATTATTTTTAATCATTTTTAATTTTAAAAAAATCATAATTTTTTCTTCATTTAACCTTTCTGGTGGTCCATCTTTCACAAATGGGCAAACGTTTATATACCTTTGTTGTCAGTGTGATGTCTCTGCACTTTAATATTTTTTCTAGATCTGTCATTGTCATTCTCAGCTCTCTATTTCATGGCTATAGTCACTATTCCTATGGATATTTGAGCCTGGAAGTCATAGTCTGTTACTACTTCAATTTCTTCTTCACATATCAGCATCACAAATGTACATAATTAGTTTTAATAATGAGCAGTAGATCAGCTTTTGCATCCCCTTCTTTCACTTTCAAAAGTTTCTTTAAGAATTCCTCACTATCAGCCGTCAAAGTGGTATTACTGGCACAGCTAAAGTTGTTAAAGTTGATCTCAGCTACTTTAATTCAGATTTCTATTTCTTTCAGTCCAGCATCTGCCATGATATATTCTGTATGTAAGTTAAATAAATGACAGTATACAACCTTTATGCTCTCATTTCACAAGTTAGAACAATGTACAGTAGTTGTTACATATTCCATTTTGTTGCCTTAGTTCTTCTTCAATGAGTTGGCATAGTACACCCATGTCTTTTTAGGCTGTCCACAATTTGCTACAGTCTACATAGTCAAAAGCCTTTGCATAATTAATAAAACAAAAAAAGTTCTTCATATATTCCTACTATCTTTTCTTTATATCACCTTTCTCCAGTATTTTTTGCTTATTTTGTCTTTTAAATTTATCTTCACATAAAGGTTTTCCTTGATTTCTGTTACTTTCCTCTCTCTCTCTCTCTCTCTCTCTCATCATCTGTCACATTGCCATTATCAAATGACTCTTGGCAGCTTATACAGAATATAAAACAAGTAAAAACAACCATGGTCTGTTTAAAGTATCAAAAGGGGCTGTCCAAAATAACAGAAAATAGGAATTCTATAATTTTTTTTACAATAGGGAAAAAAAATAAAAAGATGCCATCATGTATAAGCCTAAGAGAATTTCCTCTGAAAGTTCAATCTTTAACAATTTCCCCAAAAATAGCAAAGAAGGGGCTGGCTTCATCTCCATTGCGAGGCTGTCCCAAAGTGTTGGTGCTGTCACAGAAAAGTAGCACCTTCTAGATTCAGCCCCTTGAACCTCTTGGAAATGTGGAACCATGTCAGCCCTTCAAGATAGACCAGGTAAGGAAAGAGACACCACAAGAAATACTAGAGCTCTACTTTATTGATATAGACTATAATCTTGAGAGCCTGACAGGGTGTGCCTCCCTCAAAGAGAGTCAAGGCAGGACAATCTTGAGTCTCTCACACTTTTGTATTTTCCTGGGCTAAGTTCAGGTTTTACTAGCAGCTGCCACATATTTTCTTCAAGACATCTCTGTACTCCTCTACACCACTTCCTCCATAAGATTCAGCCTCCCCTCCCATGTACAACATTGGAACAGGATTACAGGAACAAACTACAGACTTACTCCTCCCACTTTCACTTGGCAACTTAGCAGGGTCACTAGAGAAGTCCTGCAGTGCTGCAAGGGATAAAGAGAACGGCCTTGAAGGGCAGAAGGAAGATTCCCTACTAAGGCAATGATCAGATAAATGAAACCTGAGCCCAGTAAAGTGATTTGAACCCCCCCCCCCACTTCTCAATTCTCCTGAAGATAAAAGAGGGAGGAACAACAGCACATTCTGACTTGCAAGATTCTGTTACTATTGTTGTTTGAATAAAAGTAGCTAAGATCTGCACAATGTCTGTTTCTTAGTCTGGTCTGATAGGACTGACAAGTGCAGAGGTAGGTGGAGCTGGAAAGTCCCTCCTTCCTTTCTTCTGCATGTTGGCCTCTTCTGGATAGTCTATTGTGGAGGAAAGCACAGAGTCCTATTCATCCTGCAGCAAACAGTCTACTGGTAGTGTTGGTAGATCACAGGGATGAGACCTACATGGGGATTTTAGATAAAACTGGTGTACAAGACATGGAGTGTAGACACATCTGTTGTGCTTTCCCATGGTCTCTCAGCCCTTCCAGTGATCAATGAAAACTAGATAAGACTATAATTTCACAAGAACAATAATGTAATGGGCCTATTGAAGGATAGGTGGACTCAAACTGTTGGCTAGATTAACACAATCCATTAATTATAGTAAAGGGAGAAAGACCAGGGAGAAAGATCAAGTTGGTATATGTTTGCAACCTCTGAATACAGCATGGATAAAAATGTTCAAGGACTTATTCCTTTAAACCAAGGCATCTGCATGGGGGTGGGCTGGGAAATTATTTCAAATTAGCAATTTCTGAAGAGGGGCCCTCTTGACAGACCAAGCGGGGCACAGAGTAAATCCTTAACTTGATATCTACTGCCTCTTGAGGTCAGTGGGTCATTGCCCAATTTGTATTTTCTGGTCAAGCCTCACCTCCTTGCTGCCCCCACCTGGAGAGCTTTGCACTGTGTCAGAAGCAGTGCCCACCACAAAATTCAAGTGGGTGGTGGTCTTCCAGCCACATCATCTCTTCCTGAGCTCCTGAAGCTTGTGGCAGATGCTTATTAGCCAGGGTTCCAGACACATCATACAGGATATTTTGGAATCTGTTCTGAAGTATGAGGATAAGAACTCTTCTTGACAGGCTTGACCTTTTGTCACATCCCTCCATCACTTGGTCTGGCTTTCTTTTTCCTTCTGGAAAGCTTTCTTGTGCCACTCTTTGCCAGCACTTCTTGTGCCCAATCCAAGAATTATTCATCTTCACTCCACTGGGGGTGAATAGATACTTCACTTTGTTTTCCATCTTGCTTTTAGCCACTTCTCCTTGTCTTTCATCTTGCAGCAGATGCACCTCTTGTCACCTTCAGGGAGGAAAACAAATATGGCACAGTCCCTGCAGTTCCCTGTCTCTAAATTCCTTTGATGGCAAATAAACAGACAATGCCTCTCCCTTAACATCCACCACTAGAATCCTGTTTGTTCTTCTTCTTTGCTTGCTCTCTGGGATTTGCTTGCTCTCTGGGGGATATGGAAGAACTGATTTCTTACATATCCCCCAAACCTATCACAACCAGGTCAGCAGGTAGCAGTACTCCAACCACACAAATTGGGCAATCAGTGGCACTTGGAAACAAGGAGCAGCAATCAGTTAGCAGTCTCCCTGGGTGTCTCTTTTGCCTCTCCTTAGCTGACCTCCCCCACAAAACTCATTTGCTCTTCCTGGGCATTCAGGGGACAGAAGGTCAAGAACACTACATGGTGCAAGACATGGAATAATGAAGAATTAACATAATAAAAACAGAAAACCATGATAAATAAAACCTGCAAAAACTTTATTGCTAGATGCCACCATACCCAAACAGATTAAAATGTTAAACAAAATATATTTCTAACTCCTGAGTTATTAAAAAGCTTCCAAAACAGAAAAAGTAACTTTTCCTGATCTATAACATCCTTCAATTAATATTAGCTCTCACTGTAATATATGAAAAGGGCCAATTCAAATATAACATTGGGTCAAAAAGGTGATACTATTGCAATGCCTCAGCCCCTTTTGGCTGTACATTTATAAATCCCCACACAGGAAAATGGGACTAATACAGTAACTAGAGATAAAGCATAAGGTAGCATCTGTGTTGCAGATGTATGCACAGGTAGTATTAAATGAATTAATACAGGTAGTCCTTGGCTTATGTCCATTCGTTCAGCAACTGTTCAAAATTACGGTGGTGCTGAAAAAATGGATGTATGACAGTCCTCAAAGTTCCGGCTACCACAGCACCCTCATGATCATGATCACCATCCAGGTGTTCAGTGCCCAGCTCATGATTACGACGTTGTGGGGAGCTACAATCACAATTGCCATTTGTGAACTTCCCTGCTGGGTTCCCACAAGCAAAGTCAATGGGGAAGCCAGCAAGGAAGGTTGCAGGTCACTCCAGTAAATCACTCCCACTTTTTCTCCTGCCTGAAACACTCCTCACCCACCTGCAGCTTCTGCTGGCACTCCCAGGCCCTCCCCCACCTCCCTTTGGGTCATGTGATATCACACTTTATGACCACATCACTTAGTGATGGCAATCCCAGTCCCAATTACTGTTGTAACCCAAGGACTACCTGTAAAGGTACTAACCTAGGAGAAGTCTGGTAATTCAAGTTGCTTGTGACTCATTTTTCAATGTTTAAAAATAGCCTGGCAAAAATTTCACATAATTACGGAGATCTACATCATCAGAACCATTTCTGTACAGACTGTGGTAATATATCTGAGGTTGAATGTCTCAAGAGGCACATGGGAGTGGACCAGTGGACAGGCCATCTCAGCTTCCTTTTTGGAGCACTTTCCCATGGAGGTCCTGAAGCCCCAATCCTACTGGGGCATCATTAAGTTAGCCGAACAGGGCTGTCTCAACAGGACTTTGACCCTTAGTCATGGGGCTGCTAAGGGATTTCTCTTGACTTGGGTTTTTAACAATCTGTATGCTGTATCTTTTTTTCCTTTATCTGCATGAGTTTGTTTTACCCAACCCAGAGTCCCTCTTGATTGGGACAGGCTAGAAATAGTGCAATAACATTGTAAAGAAATACATCTCCATAGTGATGCTAGGTGAAAATAAAGACTGATAGTGCAGAAATTCTCTACCAAGTCACAGGGCAGATATAGACCCAAGAATGCTCATGATAAATATCTTCAAAAATCTCTGGCAATAAGGTACTATTTTATCATTATTATCAGTGATAATCCAACTTGGTAAAAGTGAAACTTTCCACGATACCTTAGTCAAATGAAGATAATATTTCACTGATATTAAGCCTTGGATCTGACTTATTTTGCATACACACACATATATAAAAATCACAAGTTTTTCTTACATAGTTTTTTTCCCATACAGATAGTAATATATTAATGTTAAAATACATTATAGAATTTATTTTAAATTTAACAAGTAGAAAATATTACTATTAGCTTATATCACAGTTATGCATAACATTCTACAAGTGATTCATGGATTTTATGAATAAATTATAGCTTAAATTCCTTCCTTTTCCTCTTAATGCGCTGAGGCATCCTAGATTTCTCAGAATCTTCACTTTATAACTACCATTTTCAGCACCAGTCAAATGTTCTGCCAAGAAGCTCAAAGAATTTCTGATTATGATCACAAAAATATTCATAGAGTTTCTGAAGTAAAAATGAATCTATTTTGGGATGTGCTCTTCCTTTTGACTCATGTAAACACCGATTTCTACCACGATCTTTTAGGCAATAAAAGCCTTTTGTTTTGTTAAAGTAAAAATTGGAAGCATTTATCTGAGGGGAGAGCTTTAAAAATCTTTCTACTTTTACTATTTCTGAGAAGGGATCTCTTATCAGTTTATCTCCATCCACAACATGAATGTTATCCAGAGGAAAATATTTCAACCAGTTTTGCATGTGAATGTAATACAAGCTCCTATTTATTGCCTTATAGTTCATATTGAGTTCACCATCTTTAACAAGAAATTCTTCAATGGAAGGATATGGCAGATGTTTTTGCATGTGGTTAAAAAAAACTTGTGTGTAATCTGATACCATTCTTTCGACAGGGTCTCGTAAAATAAGGAGTAAACTGGTAAACTTGTTCATTCCATAAACTCTTTTTGGCACTTTGGATGAGGTGAAATAAGCTGGAGTTTTCTCCACTGTTATCTGATGGGGGTGAGAGAATGGCATTTGGTTCCTATACCATTGCAATCCATTCCTATAATGCTCTTCCCAGTCAAAGAAGTGGACTTCACTTTCTGCCACTGCTATATCTGGATGAAGGCTTAACATCTCCAGCAAGGCTCTTGTTCCTCCTTTCCGTACACCAATGATGATTGTTTGTGGAAGCTGCTGGAGAGTCCCATTAGGATGGACGGTTTTGTTTATACTGCTTTTTTTAAAAGGCTCTTTCTGAGCAGTGGCCTCAGTCTTGGAGCTGGTGGCTGGTCCAGAAGGCATGGCCTGAGGCTGAACAACAAGCAAGGTCACTCCTAGGAGAAAAACTGCCATGGCAGTGGTCCAACGTTCTTTCATACTACTAGCATATGGGACATGAAGAGACCATTCCGTAGAAGTTGCAATTCTTCTGAGGAAATACGTTCACTAGTTACAAAAAAAAGTTAGAAAAAAATGAACTTTTGCTCATTTTTCTATTATTATTCTTTTTAACATGAAAAGAAACAAAATTTGCCTAACAGTCTTGCATTTATGACTATTCAACCATTCCAGAAAAAAAAATACTGTAGATTTTCTTCTTCCAAATCTATTTTCTATTTACAGAGCTGAACCTTAGTCCTGCTTTTTTGAATATGCTATAATTCAGGTTTTTCAGAATTGTCAAAACAAAGTAACTTAAATATTTGCTGTAACTGGATATATATTTTGTTGATATTTTGAATGATTTAAGATGCTTTTGGATTCCAATTCCTATCAACACCAGTGAGCTTAGTAAGCAGTCAGTGACGGTAGAAGCATATGCATTGGCAGATTCTGACTGCAGTCCTAAATGTTCTATTACTACCGCTACTATTAAACAAAGAATCAACCAACAGAGGCAACTGCAGGAGGGGGAAAGAACGCTAATGCTGAAATGTGCTTTCTGATGTTACAGTGCAAACCACATGATACAATTACAAAAGGCTGGGGTTTGCATCATGATATCAGATGCACATTTCATCATTTTTTCATCAGGGTTTATACTAGATGCCCATGTCCCTGAACACACTGTACAGCTGTGAAAGCTGGAACAAGGAACAGAAGACGTTATGCCTTTGAAGTATAGTTGTGGAGATAGTTACCAAGAGTACTATGGACTTTATCAGCAACCAACTGATCAATCCTGAACCAGATAATGTCTAATTGCTGTCTTGAAGTAATGATTAGTAGGCAGAAACAAGTTACAGTGGTACCTCTACTTACGAACGCCCCTATTTACGAATTTTTTGACCAGCTCCGGCCCCAAAAATTTACCTCTACTTACGAACTCGCCTCGACTTACGAACTG